GCTCCAGTGCAATCTTCAGAGTTTCTTCTGACATCCATTTTGGTCTTTTCTTCCTCTTCTGTCTTTGTAATGACCGTTTACACTCTTCTTGAATGATATCTTTGACATCCTCCCACAACTCATCTGGTCTTCGCTCATTAGTGTTCAAGGCCTCAAACCTGTTCCTGAGATGATTCTGAATTTGGCCCCATCTTGTCTCTCATGATGTTTATGGTTTGGGGCTTCGCCCCTAGGTCTCTGATCCACCTTGAGTTGATTTTTTTGTATGGTGTGAGACATGGTTTCTGTTTCACCTTTCTGCAAGTAGATGTCCAGTTTTGGGAGCACCATTTGTTAAAGAGTTCATCATTTCTCCATTTGATAAGTTTTGTTTCCTTGTTGAATACCAGTTTATTGTAGGTGGTGGTGGTGGTGGTGGTGGTGTTAAGTGCCGTTGAGCGGCAGGTGACTCATAGCGACCCTATGAAGGAGAGTCCTCAATTCTTGGGTGCCTTTCATCCTCTCCCCAGGTTCATAGGGTTTCCGGAGGCAAGCTATTATGGAAGTGGATGCCACTCCTCCTTCCAAGCTTGTTTTCATTTGGGAGCTCCACTCCACTCTCTGTCCGCATTGGGTAGCCAACCATTAACGCATTTGACACATTAGTGTCACAGCAACCAAAAGTGAACACAGTATGGCAACTTGTACACCAGGGCTATACGACCTAGAGGAATGTCTGAGCAAAAACAATGAAAGACAGGCCCGAGGGCCGTGGATTAAAAGTCACCCACCCTTGGCTTGGTAGCATCGCATTCTGTCCACTGGGCCAGCTGATCTCTCTCTCTATGTTTATATTAGATGGGTTAATTTTGGCTTTTCTATCCTGTTGCATTGTTTTGTGTGTCTGTCATTGTAACAATTACATGGTTTTTTGATTAATATGAATAGTAAGTTTTGAGATCATGAGTGCTATACCTTCTATTTAATTTTTGTTTTTTCATAAGTGCTTTGCTTATTCAGTCTCTCTTTCCTTTCCAAATAAACTTGTCAATTGCCTTTTCTATCTCTTTCAACAATGAGTTGGATATCTGTATTGTGATTGTGTTAAACCTATAGATTGCTTTTGGTAGGGTTGCCATTTATATTATGTTGAGCCTTCCTATTAATGAACAGGGGACTGTTTTCCATTTAGTTAGGTCTCTTATTGTTTCTTGAAGTAGTGATTGTAGTTTTCCTTGTAAAAGTCTTTTGTTTCTCTAGTTAGGTTTATTCCCACATGTCTCAGTTTGTGGTTGGCTAATTAGAAATGGTTTTGATATCCTAGTTTCCTTTATCACATGTGTTCTTTGTTATTGTAGGCCAATCCCACAGATTTTTTTATAGTGATCTTGTATACTGCCACTCTACTAAATTGGTCTACTAGGTCTAACAATTTTATTGCTGATAGATACCTTGGTGTTTTCTGTATACACTATCATACTGTCTGCATATAGCAACAATTTTAATTACCTCATTCCTGGTTTGGATGCCTCTTGTCCTTTTCTTGTCATATTGCCATAGCAAATACTTCCAAGACAGTATTGACTAGGAGTGGTGTTAGTGGCATCCTTGTCTGGTCCCTGTTCAAAGGGAATGCCTTTCAGTTTTCTCCATTGAGAATGGTGTTTACATATATACTTTTAAATTATGCTTCAATTATTACTTTTTTAATTTGTGGTGAATTTTTTTCTTCATTTCATAGTTCTCTTATATATAAACATTGGTTTAAGTTTTGGTGGAACCTTTAAAGTTTTTAACAAATTTCAATTTTATTTGGTTCTTGTATTTTATGTTTTATATTTTATTTTACATTATAATTATGTATCTATATTTTATTCCTTATTAGAAATAATCCTTAGAAATTATGAGGATGCCACAAGATAGAATACCCCAGAATTTAGACTAGTTGTTCATAGGGTCATTTTAAGTTGTTCTTGACTGGAAAACACCTGACACCAACATTGTTAGTAATATCTTTAGGATTTTCCCCCCTTATCTCTCAGTGGAAACATACTAATAATAGCTAATTATTTTTATATATCCTTAGATTTGCAGGAAAGCATATCCAGAATCCATAGAACAATTGACCTAATGTACTCTGACAAATCTATGATCCAGGTAAGTGAAATATTGACTTAGTAGAGGGACAGCGCAGGAGGGGAAGACCCTCTGTGAGGTGGATTGTTTCAGTGACTGGGGTAATCGGGATGGGTGTGTCAGAGGCAATGCGATTGGCACAAGATAGAGCAGGGTTTAGGACTGTTGTACATAGGGTCTCTATGAGTCGCAAACGACTCGACCACACATAACAACAACAACAACAACAACAACAACAAAACACTATAAAAATTATTTACATAGATTTTCTGTTATCTTTAAATATTTTTTATTCTTCACTTAATCCTTTTATCTTTGGCTATAAAAATTGCTGCTCTTAAAATGTTCACATTGACATTTCCTTTATTCCGTTATCTTCTCACAATATACCTTTTTCTTATGTTCTTCTAAAATTTAGTCAATATTTTTGCAGAGCTTTTATGTATAGATAGTTCTATAATAAATACATGTTTTTATGGAGATTATAAGAGAAAATTTTAGAGCTCAATTACATTTTAACTTCTGATATACATTAATAAAGTATTATGTTAACTTACTCATCACAGAGTAAAACTTTAAAGAAATCAGATGCTATTCATTCAAATTACCATTGTAAATTTTTTTTTGGTAAAGAAATAACCCATTTAGGTAAATAAATATGCATACAATAAATCTTTGTATTTTTGGAAAAAACCTTTATAAAAAAACGACTTGAACAGCACATCAGCAGAGAAATGCCAGAAGTGCAGGCGAGGCTTAGAAGGGGTCGTGGTACTAAGGATATTGTAGCTAATGTTAGATGGATCTTAGCTGAAAGTAGGGAATACCAGAGGAATATCTCTTTGTGTTTCATTGACTATGCAAAGGCATTTGACTGTGTATCATAACGAACTGTGGCTGACTCTGAGAAGAATGGGAATCCCAGAACACTTGATCATGCTAATGTGAAACCTATATGTGGACCAAGAAGTAGTCCTCAGAACAGAGCAAGGAAACACTGCATGGTTGAAAATTGGGAAGGGTGTACACCAGAGATGTGTCCTATCTCCATACCTCTTCAGCCTGTATGCAGAACAGATTATCCAGGAGGCTGGGGAGTGTGGCGTCAGGATTGGTAGAAGATCTATCAACAGTCTGCATTATGCAGGTGACATAACCCTGCTTGCTGAAACTGAGGAGAACCTAAAGCGCTTGCTGCAGAAGGTCAAGGACTGCAGCCTTCAATATGGATTGAGGCTCAGTATCAAGAAGACAAAGATTCTCACCACTGGACCAATTAGCAGCATCAGGATTGAGATTGTTAACAACTTTAGTTTCCTTGGCTCCACAGTCAACACTCATGGCACCACAAGCCAGGAAATTAAAAGATGTATTGCGATGGGAAAATCTGCTGTTAGGGACCTCTCCAAAGTACTGGAGAGCAATGGTGTCACTTTGGAGATGAAGGTGCATCTGATACAGTCCATGGTCTTTGCAATCACTTGTTCTGCGTCAGAGAGTTGTACAATGACTAGAGAAGATAGAAGAAGAATTGATGACTTTGAGCTCTGGTGCTGGAGAAGAGTATTGAGGGTACCATGGACTTCTAGGAAAACAAACAGATTCATCCTGGAGAAGGTTAAACCAGGCTACTCCTTGGAGGCAAGGATTCTGAGGCTTCATCTGACATATCTTGGACATGTTGTAAGGAAGGACTAGTCCTTGGAGAGGGACATCATGCTTGGGAAGGTGGAGGGATAGTGCAGGAGGGGAGACACTCTATGAGGTGGGTTGATTCAGTGACTGGCGTAATCAGGATGGTTGTGTTAGTGACAGTGCGATTGGCACAGGATAGAGCAGGGTTTAGCGCTGTTTTACATAGGGTCGCTATTAGTCACAAGTGACTCAACGGCACATAACAACAACCTGCTTTATGTATTTTTAGCTTATTTATTATCTCCCTTTTTCAAGTTAATTTTATAGTGTTTTTTAAAGTTTTTGATAAATTTTAAGCCTAGGTAATTTTATGTTGTTAAACAAAATATTATTCCAATAGTATGTTCATAATGACCAGTTTATAGATTTATGGAATGATGTCTTTTTTCTTTTCCCCCTTCACTACATTTAGGTTCCTTATCGCTTACATGCAGTTTTAGTTCACGAAGGCCAAGCAAATGCAGGACATTACTGGGCATACATTTTTGATCATCATGAAAATAGGTGGATGAAGTACAATGACGTTGCTGTGACCAAGTCTTCATGGGAAGAGCTAGTGAGGGACTCTTTTGGTGGTTATAGAAATGCCAGTGCATACTGTTTAATGTACATAAATGATAAGGCACAATTCTTAATACAAGGTAAGAATATTAAATTTGTTTATGTATTTGTAATAAGTTGTCCTTTTATACAACTCTTATCTTTGGTATGATACTTAATTTACTTAGAGGGTAATGAGTATGATTGGAAATGCTTGCTGCTGTTGAGTTATTACATGGGGATGCTGGAGTTGAGAGATATTGTGATCAGTGCTTAGAACTGGAACATATTTTCTACTCCACACTGTTAAGTGATTTTAATAGTTTGATCATTTTTTTTTCTCCTTGCTGTAAGCTCTTTGAGTTCTAGTGGTTTACAGGCAAGTGTACTGCCTATCCAAGGGTATGTAGTTCAAATACTCCAAGTGGTCTGTGGGAAAAGGACAGGCCATCTCCTCCTGTACCTCTGAAAACCTGCTGGAGGGCCAGCTGTAGGCCTGACTCAATGGTACATAACAAAAACGCTGTAATTACCTCACCCACTTACTAGTTCATATTTAAGCTTTTTTCAGCCTTTTTTTTTTTGTCCTGACTTTATTTCTAGCTTCATATACCACACTTCTCCGTCTTGAACTTTCTATACCTTATTTATCAACTTCTTGCTATATTCTGCGCATACAATACTGATCCACACATACTCCCTGTGTTCTCATGCTGGCTTAATTGATTTTTACTGTAATGCTCCCACGACTTCCTTTGGCTGTTTCCTCCTCATCTGTCAAGAATCAATTTAGATGTCATCTTCTCTGCAAATATTTTCTTTTCTGGCCTTGAAATACCTCATTTTGTTCTGTCTTTGAGTGAATTCTAGCTCAAAGAAACCATAAAGGACAGAGTAGATGTGCCCATGGGGCTTCTAGAAGTTTCCCGAAGCAGATTGCCTTATTTTTCTCCCATAGAGCAACCAGCCAGTGGGTTGGAAACCCCATAACTAAGTGCTTTAACAATGGCTCCTTTGATGTAGCCATCAAGTTAAACATGATTCATAGCAGACCCTCTGATGAGCTTTTAGAGTTACAAAACAAGTAGGTGAAGATTGCCCAAGTGTCTCCAGGGAGCAGCTGATGGATTTGACTTGACTGCTTTTAGATTAGCAGCACAGCTCCTTATCCACTAAGCTATCAGAGATCCACTTAGATACCAGGTCACTTAACTTTCCATTTATAAAATTAACTTTCTTTGGATACTAAAGGAAAGTTAATTTTGCTAGTTCCAACAAACTTTAGTTGTTTGCTGTATGGAATACCAAAAGAAAGAATTTAAATTCATGACATTAATGTTTTCTGTGTTAAAATTCATTATTGACTTGTTTTGCCCACATCACTATAATCAGATCAGTTATGGACCATATTCTATCAAATTTTTTCATATTCCTTCAAATTTTTATTTTTTATATTTCACTGCAGGGTTTTCAGATAGGAAACAAGATTTGTTGGAACTAATGAAGTTAGTTTACATTTTTATTCAGTATTCAGCAAAACCTTCTAGGAAAACAATCTACTTATGAATGTACTACATACAGTGTATGTAGTAAAGTTTAACTAACTCTTTAAAATACTATTTACCTAATGCTCTGAAAAAAATCTTACTATTGAGATTATTTTTTATAATTGAATATTAGTACTTAATCTATACTTAACTGCTCCAGATAAAAAAGAATTTATTTCAAACAATAAATTTGAATTATTTCTTTGTCATGAGTTCCACTTAATAGATAATTAAGCATCTGTTCTTATAAAAGAAAAAGGTAGTATTGAAATGTTTGAGTAACAAAAATTTTTACTTTATGTCTTGATTATTCATTTCTACCTTTCAGCTTTAAATATATACTGAGAAAATTACCTGTAATGAATTTTAAATATTTATGTCATTGCTTTTCTGAGTATTTGTGTCTTAAGTAGGGTTCATTTGCCAAAGGATAATGATTCATAGTTTAAATGTGTTTGAAATACATTGTTTTGAGGGTTTTATATTTCTTTAATTCCTGGTTTATATTAGTTTTAATATATGATTTTCAGAGGAATTTAACAGAGAAACTGGGCAGGCTCTTGTTGGAATAGACACATTACCACCGGATTTAAGAGATTTTGTTGAGGAGGACAACCAAAGATTTGAAAAAGAATTAGAGGAATGGGATGCACAGCTCACCCAAAGAGCTTTGCAGGAAAAGCTTTCAGCAGCTCAGAAACTGAGGGAGTCAGAGTCCTCCGTAACAAAAGGTTAGTAAGTTTGTATTAAGTTGTATCTTATTATCAATTTATTATATTTATTATCACTGTTTTATAAGAGAGGCTCATTGAAAAAATATAAAAACATGAACAGTAAAAATCATCTGTTGTGTTATCACGTAGAGACAGCCATTACTCATATTTTAGTCAGTCTCTTTGCCAAAAGCCTTTATAACTATATTTACTTTTCTTAAAATAAATTAAGATAACTAAGAAGCCAAACAAAAAAATGCATCAAGAAAATAAACGTCGTTAAGATTGAAATGAAATGTGGTCAAATTCCATACATTTATCCAGAAGTAGTGAGGCAATTTTACTCTGGGATTTCTGGAAAAACACTGTTTGCAAGTAAAATCTGATATTGTACTAGGATTGTAAAACTGGCTCCTGTTAATTGGATCCAAGAGAATGAATACAACTTTAAAACTCACTGTCGTCTCATTAGTTATGACTCCTACTGACTCTCCATTGAGTTTCTGAGACTGTAAACCCATCTTTCTCCCTGTCACCACTGGTTGATTCCAACCACCAGACACTCAAAACCTTTGGCTTATTGTTGTTGTGTGCTGTTGAGTTGCCTGCGACTCATAGCAGTACTATGTACAACAGCCCTAAACTTTGCTCTATCCTATGCCATTCCCGTGCCTGTCTCCGACACACCTACCCCCATTCCAAATATTTATGATTTTAGAAGTAATGAAGTATTGTTGTTGTGTACCAAAGAGTCAGAACCGACCCATAACTGACCCTCTGGTGGGTTTTCAGAGGCAGTTAATCACACAGGGAGAGATTGCCGTTCTTCTCCTGTGGAGCAGCTGGTGGCCTGGAATCATGTGCCTTTGAGATCGCAGTGCTGCTTCCTGCCATGAGGCCGCGAGAGCACCCTATAATATTGAAAATATTCTTTAATTCCTTGAATGCACAAACTAGGTGATGTTTATATTTCTAATCTCCAACATCTCACATATTAAATGACATGTGCTATCCCATGAATATTTTCCATCTTGAAGTCAATCCCTAGAAGATTCCAAAGAGTTCTTTAATGCAATCATCAGTTAAGCAAAGTACTAATATTTTTAATACTATGGTCATAGTAATACTACTCAAGGGAGATGAGGTAAAATTGTGTGTTATAGATGTAATTCTTTGTAGGTTTAAATCTGGTTCCCAAATCTCTTCCCATAATTTTCTTGGAATGAGGATCAAAATAGGGACTTTTTAAAATTCCATTGCTGATTCTGTGTATCATGCTTATGATGATTATATAGACTGCCTTTCAATGATTATCAGAATAACCAGGTAATACGCCTAAGTATGGGAGTGGCTTCCACTTTCTAAACAACATGCCTCTGGAAACTCTGTGAACTTTGAAAAATGTTGATAGTTACAGAAGGGCATCAGGCCTTTTGTTCATAGTTTCACGATGAATTGTGCTTGACTTGACGGCAGTCAACAACAACACACCTAAGTAGAAACACTCCCTATCACTACTACAGTCAAAACTCCCAACTCATGTTGATGTTAGGTGCCATCGAGTCAGCTACAACTCGTAAGGACAGTATGAACAGCAGATGTGAACCTTGCCCTATCCTGCACCATCCACAGTCTCCAAGATGATCAAGCCCATTGTTTCATTCACTTTGTCATAATGACACAGGGCAGGGCTACAGTGCTCTCAATATAAGATTTTCTATGACATCCAGAAGGAACTCTAGTGGTGCAGTGGTTTAAGATTGACATTGACTACTAACTACAAAGTAGGTAATCCAAGCTTGCTGACCACTCCATAAGAGAGAGTTGTGTCAGTCTGCCTCCATAAAGATTACGACATTGGAGATCCTTTGAGGCCATTCTACATTTTCCTTTAGGAATGCTATGAGTCAGAATCCACTCACCAGCAGGGGGTTGGCTTATGACTTCCAAGCAAGTGAATAAAGCCCATACATTATATAATATATGGCATGATTAGAAAATCTCTTAGAATAAGCACTGTGCCACCAGAGCTCCTTAGGTGGATGTGTTGTTGTTATTGTTGTTGTGTACCATCAAGTTGGAAACAGTTCATAGCTGACCCTCCAGCAGGTTTTCAGAAACAATCTTTCAGAAAGAGATTACCCATCTTTCTCCTGTGAAACAACAGGTGGATTCAAACTGTATACCTTTGGGTTGGTAGCATAATTTCCTTACCACTAAGTCACCAGACCTCCCAGGTGTGATATAGCCCTTTAAAAAAAAAATCAGTGAAGAAGCACTTGCAGGAACAAGAAATTATTTAGAAGATACTATAGAACTAGAATATTATATACCTCCATAGAAAACTAATCATTCACAGTACTATAGAAATTAGTTTATTTAGGAATTTTACCTACAGGTAGGGAACTCAAGAAGATAAGCAAAATTAAATAAAGTTGTTAGAAAAGAAAGTGTTAGAAGAATAAAACATCAGCTGAATTCTAAATATTAGTTTGAAACATTCACACTAACTTGAGCTATCACATAAAATACCAGTTGTTACATACTGTAACATTGGAACTAACTTTTAACTGACCATCCAGCAGGTTTTTAAAGCTGTGATTGAATCAGAGGAGATTTGCCCATCTTTCTCCCACAGAGCACCTGGTGCACTCAAACCACCTACCTTGAGTAAGCTGCATAATTCTTTATCCACTAAGACACTAAAGCTCCATAATGATAATGATAGCCTAGTAGCTAATTGTCGTCGTTATGTACCTTTTATTTGGAATCAACTCCTAGTTAACCCACCAGTGGGTTTTCAGAGGCAGTAAATTGCACAAGAACAGATTGTCCATCTTTGGTTGTGGAACATTCAAACTACCTGCTTCTGGGTTGGCAGTACAGTTACTTAGCTACTAGGCTGCCAGAGCTCCATCTAGGGTAGTATGTTGTTGTTAGGTACTTTAGAGTTAAGTATGATTCAAAGCAGCCCTGTGAATAACAGACCTGAGTCCTCTCCTATCTTGTGCCATCCTCATCATCTCTGATACAGTTGAGTCCACTGCTGTAGTCACCAAGTCAGTCCATCTTGTTGGAAGTCTTCCTTTACTTTGCCGACCCTCCAATTTTCTAAGCATGTTATTCCTTTCCAAAAAAATAGCCTCTCCTAGCAACATGTCTTAAAGTATGAGAAATGAAACTTTGCCCTCCTTGCTTCCAAAAAACACTCTGGCTGCACCTTTTCCAAGACTTACCTGTTCATTCTTTTGGCAGTTTATGAGATATAATCAGTACTCTCAATACTCTGCTAACCCAAAGACTGCAAGGTTCTGGTGATTTAAATCCATCAGCAACACTGTATGAAAAGAATGGGCACTTCCCTCCCATAATGACTTACTACTTCAGAAGCCTGACAACAGAAGGGTAACAGTGAGTTGAGAAAGACTTAATGGCATTGAGTTTGGATTTGAGGGACATTTTACCTTGTTATACATTTTGGGAGGCCCAAATGGATAATAATTGATAATAACTACTGCCATCTAATGGGAATAAACTGGAATGCATGTAAATCTAAAGTGATAGAAGAATTGATGCTTCTGATCTGTGGTATTGAATATACATGGACTGCTAGGAGAATAAACAAGTCTGTTCTAGAGAGGGTGAGATCAGGCTACTCCTTGGAGGCAAGGATTTTAAAGCTTCGTCTGACATACTTGGGTATGCTGCAAGGAGGGACCAGTCCTTGGAGAAGGACATCATTTTTGGAAGGATAGTGGGACAGATTGACTCAGTGAGTTAGGTAATGGGGATAAGTGTGTCAGAAAGTGAGGTTGGTTCAGAATAGAGCAGGGTTCACAGCAGTTGTACATAAGATCACTATGAGTCACAAGCTACTTGATGGCACATAAGAACAAAATCAAGTAAACAAAGGTCTTCACCACAGAACCAACAGTCAACATTAGGATATATGGATAAATGATGGAGCTGTAAATGATTTAATGATCAACACCCTTGCTATCAGCAGTCAATAAATCAGGAGAAATATTGCTTTGGGCAGGTTTGCTACAAACTGCTGAAGAGGAATGATGTGGTGTACCTGATTCAGGCCATGGCTTCTCAATCACTTGCTGTATATCAGCTGAACAATGAATGAGGATGACTGAAGAATTAATACCTTTGAGTTGTGGTGCTGAAGAAAAGTACTGAATGTCCCATGGGCTGCCAAAAGAAAAAAAAATTTGGAAAAAGTGCAGCCGGAATGCTCCCTGGAGACAAAGATGGCAAAGCTTCATCTCTCATGCTTTGGACATGTAGGTAGGAGAGTTCATGTAGGGTCATCATGCTTGAAAAGATGGAGGGTTAGCAAAGGAGAGGAAGACCACCAATGAGATGAATTGACATGATCGCTTAATCAGTAGGCTTTAATGTGTCAGAGATGATGAAGATGGTAAAAGATAGGGCAGAGTTCAGGTCGGCTGTTCATAGGGTTGCTATGAGTCATACTTGACTCCATGTACTTAATAACAATAGGGAAGTGACATTTAAACAAAAGGACAGGACAGATAGACAATACTAGATGAAGAGAGTGATAGGTAAATATAGGTAAAGAGTATTTGAAGAGCACATAAATGCCACAGAAAATTTTATGTGTTTCTCCCTTTACAGAAAGGGTAAAGGGCAGAAGATGCTGGAGAGAAAAGCAGGAACTCATTTCTTGTTTGTTGCCATTGAGTTGACTGTGACTCATAGTGACCCCATGAGCAATGGATCTGAACCTTACTCTGGCCTGTGCCATCCTTATTGTCTCTGATACACTTGAACCTGCTGTTACAGTTACCGTACCAATTCATGTAACCGAGTGTCTTCCTTTCGCTGAACCTTCACCATTCTAATCATAATGTCCTCTTTCAAGAAATGGCCCCTTCTAACAGCATGCTTAAAATACAAGAGATGAAAATTCACCATCTTTGCCTCCAAGGAACACCCTGGCTGCACTTTCTTCAAGACATATGATCTCCTAGCAGTCTGTGGGATATTCAGTACTCTTTCTCCAACACCACAACTCAAATACATCAGTTCTTTTCTCATCCTTATTCATTGTCCAACTTTCAAGTTGTTGTTGTTAGGTGCCATCAAGTCGAGCACGACTAATTGACCCTGTGAACAAAAGATCTGAACCTTGTTCTATCCTGCACCATCCTCACACTACCTGACACACGAGTCCATTGCAGCAGTCACCATATCTTTCCATCTGGTTGAGGGTCTTCCTCTTCTTCACTGACCCTCCACCCTTCCCAGCATGTACTTCTCTAAGGAATAGCTTTGTCCAAAGTATGTGAGGCAAAGCCTCATCATTCTTGCCTCCAAAGCCCACTCTAGTTGCACTCTCTCCAGGTCATGTCTGTTTGTTCTCTTGACTATCCATGGGATGTTCAGTGCTCTTCTACAATACCATAGCTCAAAGACATCAATTCTTTTTGTGTCATCCTTACTCATTGTCCAGATCTTGGATACATGGCTAATAATTGGAAAGACTATGGCCTGAATCATAGCTAGTAATTGGAAAGACTGTGGCACACCTTGGTCTTCAAACTGAAATCACTAGTTGTCAATAATCTGGAAAAGTCCCTAACTACAAATTTTCCCAGTGCAATATGTTTCATTTTCTGACTGCTGGTTTCAAGGGTGTTAATGGTGGATAAAAGGAAGATGAAGCTATTGACAGTTTCAATCTCCTCTCCATCTGTCATAATACTGCCTATCAGTCCAGTAGTAAGAATCTTTGTTTTCCTGACATTGAGATGCTATCCATGCCACAGGTTACATCCTTGATCTTCTGCAACTAGTGCTTTTCCCAGCCCTCCTCACTTTCAGCAAGCAACTTTCAGGTATATAGCAAGTAATCAAAAATATCATGACTTGAATCAGAACTTGAATCTTTAAACTGACACAGTAAAGATTAAAATGGAAACATTTTAAAGCTGTCTACAAAATACATTTCATTAGGAGTAGGAATACACTGTTGACCTTTCAAAGTATATTGTTGACTCTGAGGGTTCTGAGTTAGCATAGCAAAGAGTTGTAAATATGCATGCAGGAGCCATCTTCACATGAACTGTATTTAAAGTTAGGAATTTATAGTGGTAGGGGTTTGCAGAATGGTTTTGTTTTTTCCTCACTCAACACTCAGCTAATAGGGACCAAGGTCAGAAAAAATGGAAATTTGAGTTTTTCATAATTAGAGCTTAAATAGGTGTGCTATTTGTAGAAAATCGGTGAAAACAAAAACTTCTTTTTCCTGTGAGTTGCTAATAATTATGAATAATGTACAATGAATTCTTACCATAAATTATAATTAATGCTTCTTTAATAACTACTTGAGTTCTCTTGGTTCAGATTTTCTTTGCAGGACAGGGTTGAGCTGTAAATTCAAGGAGAAAAAAATTATACTTTATGTTGTAGAATACTCAATTTAAAGACAAGAGTAAACTTGTTTTATAAATAAAAATTACTAGAAATGAATAATATAGATTCATTTTAGTATAGACTCTTTGTGATTTATATTAGATACACAATTGATTCTTTTCTCATGAAGCACAAGCGGGAGAACCAGAATATCTAGAGCAGCCATCAAGATGTGATTTCCCAAAGCACATGAAAGAAGAAACTATCCAAATAATTACCAAGACATCACATGAGCATGAAGATAAAAGCCCTGAAACAGTTTTGCAGTTGGTAAGAACTTTTCTTTTAGCATATCTCCATGTTTGCAACATTTCCTAGGAATGTGATGGCTGGTGACCTGATTAGGGATCAGGAGAGACAGAGCCAAATGATGCTCTACTCTAAATCAGCCATCTGTGAACCGGTCTCCTGAGCCCCAAGCTTTAATTTCATGACCTGTAATGACACTTTAAAGGAAGAAAGTTTCAGTCCTGTTCCATGATGATGAAAATCATATTCATAGATTAAATTTGCCATTTGATTTTGAGCCTTTGAAAGAGGAATGTTAAATTTAGCAGCAGTTTCATTCTCTTCTAGCAGTATCTCCATCTGGAATCTTATTACAGTACACGACAGAAATTTAAGATATAATTTTGATTGTTTCATGGCGTATGTTTAACAGTAATACTAGTAGGTGTTCTAGGTAAGAGTATTAAGATTTATGTAATCTTACAAAACAGTTTATGCTTATTTCAATAGGGTATTCTGTGTAAAAGTGACTACTTATATCTTAACTATTTTTAGTGCTTATATGTACCATTTTACCACATTAAATTGAACACATAGGGATTATACTATGTTATTTGTAATTCTGAAGGTAGTTATTTAATAAAAGTTAGAATGGCAAAACTATTCCATACTGCATACGTCTGTCTCCTGTTTGATTGGAGAACAAAAGCTGCTTTACTGCTGGTTTCATTTTCATCTTACCTGATTTAGTATGGAAGATTTCCCTCCTAAAGAACTAGAAAGAATCGTATATATTAGAATTTCACAACACTAAGTAAGAAAATTTAACTTGATAGATGCATTAAGATTTTTAATTCATTAAGACTTTGATTTAACTGAAATTTTCAATATATAACATATTTTGTAACTATGTTGATGAACTAAATAATCAGAAATTACTTTTTTACTTCCTCATTTCCTATTTGAAGATTTCAAAAAAATTAATACATAGCCTTACAAAAAGATAGAAAAACCACAATAGTATAAAATAACCAAAGCAAAAACACCTCTCAGTATGTTAATGTAATTAGTTGTTTCTAATGACTCTAAATAATATATTAAAAAATCTTTTTAACTCTAAAACATTTTATGAAACATTTTTTTGAGTGAAATGTAGTGTTTGTTCTTGGGAAATGGCTTAGAAGAAGAGCGTAGAGCGGGAAGAATGTATTTTGCCTGATGCCAAAAGTAATTTTACAGTGACTTTTGTTAATTGGAGTTTTTATTTTTCAGACTGTACCCTGTAGTTCATAAGAATTATCCATTAAGCTAGGATCAACCAAAAGCAACGCATGGTATATAGCATCATGGTTTTTTTTTTTTAAATTGCCAGAAATTACACTTAGATTTTGCTTATCATGTAAATTAGTGACCTGCTTCCTCACTTTCACATGAGAAAGGAGAACAGCAGAGAGAAAATGACACATAAATATGTTTCCTGTTCACTGTTGTGGTTTTGTTTTTTTGTTTTTTATAGTTTTTGGAGTTAGTTTTGTCTGCATAAATCCTGCAACCTGTCTGTGATTGTGCTAATTGTTGTCTGATGAGGTTTTGGTTTAGTGGTCAGTGGCTTATAAAAACAAACATAAAGATTCTTTGAAATGAATTGAGGCCAATTTATAGCAACTCTAAGGGACAAAATAGAACTTCCTCACAGGGTTTCCAGGGCTATAAGTTTTTACAGAAGCAGAATGACTTCTTGTCCCATGGAGCAGATGTGAGTTTGAATCAGCATTCTCAGCAGAATACTTAACCACTGCGTCCCCAGGGCTCCATGTCAGTTGTTTAGGATCATGCCAATCTCTTGGAGTTTTCCCACGTAATCCTGTAGTTCAGATGTTTCATAGTATAAGTTAAAATTGTCATTCTGATTTTGAATCTTAGGATCCTGGATTTTTAAATACTAGTATTTTTAAGTATTATTTACCCACCACTGAATAAATTAATTCCATAACCAACACATATCCGTAAAGGCATACAGGAATGACAACAACAACAAAGTAACTATTAGATCCTTTTATGACTTAAACTATAGCCATTTTTACAAATATTTCAATTCTAGCATTAGTTTAAGAATTTTCTCCAAACTTTAGAATTACAAGAAAGAGAGATACATTCTTAAAATATTTAGGCATCTTGCGCTTTAGAAGAAGGTCTTCATTTAACTTTAAAGGAAATATCTTTAGAAAATTTGAAATGTAGACTTCAGACAAGAATCATAATATCCCTATCACAAAAGTAAATAGCTGTCCAGATGCCAGCTTATGATCTTTCAATTTTATTTTTAAACATAGGTTTGGGATTTATTTTATGTAACGGAATTATTACTACATAAGAAATTTTGTATCTTACCTTTTTTTCAACTTGATATTTATTAAGCATTTCTCCATTTTACAAACATTATGTAAAAAATGTATGATGATTAAATATTATTCCACCGAGTGACTGAATTCTTGTTAAATTACTCATTATGCTACTGCATATTTATTTCTATGTTTATATTATTGTGAACAGTCTGCTTGAAATAAAACTTTACATACTGGATTTTTTTTTGTTGTTTTTATAAGATCTCAGTTCAATTGCGTTACTGAAATAGGCAAGTTCTAAGGCCAGAGACATGATAATTATGCATGTCTCTAATAATTTTTTTATGAGACCATTCATTTATTTGTTTTTATTTAGTAAGTTAATGAGTTTTAGGTAATTATTGAAAATATTTTAATTAATTTTACAAATTATTAGCTGAAACATTAATTTTAATAGTTTTTAAGTTTTGCCTTTTTCAGAATACTTGTATAAGGCTTGATAATAGGAAAAATAAAAATATTTTTAGCAAACCCCCAATTATGTCACTCTTAAATTCCTTGTGGGAATAATGTTGTGGTGGCTTAAAATTATCAAAACTTAATGATTGACACTGCAAAATTTCTACATGCCCACTCTTTTATTTTTTCACCTTCACTTACATGACTGATAATTATTTGTTTCTTGGGAGATGGTTATGATGATTATACTTAAACTCTTCAGCCATTCCTGGCAAAGCTTACAAAGCAATTATTTTTCCTAAGTGGTGGTGGTGTTTTTTAATGGTAATAAAGATATTGTTTTAGAAGTATCAGTATTTATGTTTAATATTTTTGAGATGCTTTTGTTTTAGAATGATTTGCTAGTAACAAATTTTTCATCAGAAAGTCCAAGCAGTCTTCTCAGTTTACCTGCTTCTGTTTCACTCTTCTGACTGGATACCTGGCACAAGTATTCTCTTACATTCCGGGAAGATTTAAAATCTCAGGCCAAGTATATGTGTCCTAGTTATATTTGAACTCAAGTGTAGTAATTTAAAGTAGCATATAAAAGTATAATAATGTATTGACTGCCATTTATAGAAGAATTGTTAAGTACAAAAGGAACTTTAGTGACTTAGTGGTAAGAAGTTGCACTTCCTGCCCAAATCCACCAGCTGATGATCCACAGGAGGAGGATGAGCATCCTCCTCCCATAATTTACTCCCTCAGGTTCCGCTTGGTTCTTACTTAGTGGTATAGAACAGCAATCTTAAGTACTAGATGTTGGAATACGTGAATACCATTTCTCATGATAGTTGCAGATTGTTTATTTCTTTTTGAATTTGATCTGATAAGTAATATCTATCTAATTTTCTTTTTTAAAATTTTATTTTTTGAAGTTGACCTAATAAGTAATAACTATCTACTTTTCTTTTTAAAAAATTTTTTATTATTTTTTGGTTCATGTACCATCAAATCAAATCTGACTTCGACAGGAGGAGATTGTCCCTCCTTTTCCAGCAGAGCATTGGGTGGATTCGAACCGAACATCTCTGGGATTGCTGTGCAGCTTCTTGCTACTAGGCCACCAGAGCTCCCTACAATTTTCTAATAATCTTATGGTAATAATTAACATTTATACAGAAGGGAAAAAATGCTAGTCTTGGTCATTAGTTTCGTTTATTTACTTTTTGCCTATTCACCTCTGAGAAACTAGACAATATTCACATGCTGAAATTTACGTATATTTCAAATTGAAGTAAAATCCTTTTACTTAATTTTATTTAAATTTGTGTCAGAACTGTACTTAAGAAAATATCTGCTAAAGAACATGTTGTTGTTGTTATGAGCCATCAAGTTGCTTGCAACTAACAGCAACCCTGTGTACAACAGCTCTTGAACCCTGTTCTGTCTTGTGCCAAACTTATTGTCTCCAACACACCTACACACACTACCCCAGTCACTGAATCAATCCATCATCTGCTAAAGAACGTAATAATTATAGATTTACTCAATGAAATAAGTCCTTTTTGAAGTTAGAGATTTTAAAAAATTTATCAGTTATATGGACATTAGAAAATACAACTTCTATGCTCTGAGGGGTAAAAAACAGAAAATTTGATTTAATGTTTACTGTTTAGAAGGTAAAAGGAAAGACAATTCCATTGTGGTGACTTCATACTAAGTAGGTACAGATATTTTAGAAGATTGAAAATAGTGCACACAAACTTTGTGTTTCCATTGTTCTCTTTTCTAATGTTGATACTGATTTTCTTCTGCAGAAACCTGAAAGTATCACAAGCCAACCACCTAGCCAGCGAGTTGTAGAGGTGGTGATTCCTCCTGTAGGGAAATTTATGATTGAGTCAAAGGAGGAGGGGGGTTATGATGACGAGGTACCTTTATTCTAGACCTCTGCACAATTTCCACTTATCTTTTTGCTGTGTAATAAAGTACTTGGGCATGCATGTCTGCAGCTTCACAGAGAACGTGTGTTGCATACCGCTTTGACACCCATGGACTGAAATTACCTTTCCAGTTGCTATCAGACTGTTCAATTTTCTTTTTCTTCCTGTGTTTTTCAGAGGTGAGAGGCCTTTTCTTTTTTAAAAAAAAAACAAACATTTTATTAATTTTAATGAACATTTACAGAGATTTTGGATTTCCATTCATTCATTGTTGCACTATTTTCTCTACCTTCCCAGTTTGTTGCTCTTT